CTTTACTTACTTTAAAGATGTGCTGTATGTTGTATGTGAGGACTTTACTTACTTTAAAGATGTGCTGTATGTTGTATGTGTTGTATGAGAGGACTTTACTTACTTTAAAGATGTGCTGTATGTTGTATGTGAGGACTTTACTTACTTTAAAGATGTGCTGTATGTTGTATGTGTTGTATGAGAAGACTTGACTTACTTTAAAGATGTGCTGTATGTTGTATGTGAGGACTTTACTTACTTTAAAGATGTGCTGTATGTTGTATGTGTTGTATGAGGACTTTACTTACTTTAAAGATGTGCTGTATGTTGTATGTGAGGACTTTACTTACTTTAAAGATGTGCTGTATGTTGTATGTGTTGTATGAGTGGACTTAATTACTTTATAGATGTGCTGTATGTTGTATGTTAGGACTTTACTCACTTTAAAGATGTGCTGTATGTTGTATGTGAGGACTTTACTTACTTTAAAGATGTGCTGTATGTTGTATGTGTTGTTTGAGAGGACTTTACTTACTTTAAAGATGTGCTGTATGTTGTATGTGTTGTTTGTGAGGACTTTACTTACTTTAAAGATGTGTTGTATGTTGTATGTGAGGACTTTACTTACTTTAAAGATGTGCTGTATGTTGTATGTGAGGACTTTACTTACTTTAAAGATGTGCTGTATGTTGTATGTGTTGTATGTGAGGACTTTACTTACTTTAAAGATGTGCTGTATGTTGTATGTGTTGTTTGAGAGGACTTTACTTACTTTAAAGATGTGCTGTATGTTGTATGTGTTGTTTGTGAGGACTTTACTTACTTTAAAGATGTGCTGTATGTTGTATGTGAGGACTTTACTTACTTTAAAGATGTGCTGTATGTTGTATGTGTTGTATGAGAGGACTTTACTTACTTTAAAGATGTGCTGTATGTTGTATGTGTTGTATGAGAGGACTTTACTTACTTTAAAGATGTGCTGTATGTTGTATGTGTTGTTTGTGAGGACTTTACTTACTTTAAAGATGTGTTGTATGTTGTATGTGAGGACTTTACTTACTTTAAAGATGTGCTGTATGTTGTATGTGAGGACTTTACTTACTTTAAAGATGTGCTGTATGTTGTATGTGTTGTATGTGAGGACTTTACTTACTTTAAAGATGTGCTGTATGTTGTATGTGTTGTTTGAGAGGACTTTACTTACTTTAAAGATGTGCTGTATGTTGTATGTGTTGTTTGTGAGGACTTTACTTACTTTAAAGATGTGCTGTATGTTGTATGTGAGGACTTTACTTACTTTAAAGATGTGCTGTATGTTGTATGTGTTGTATGAGAGGACTTTACTTACTTTAAAGATGTGCTGTATGTTGTATGTGTTGTTTGAGAGGACTTTACTTACTTTAAAGATGTGCTGTATGTTGTATGTGAGGACTTTACTTACTTTAAAGATGTGCTGTATGTTGTATGTGTTGTATGTGGACTTTACTTACTTTAAAGATGTGCTGTATGTTGTATGTGTTGTATGTGGACTTTACTTACTTTAAAGATGTGCTGTATGTTGTATGTGAGGACTTTACTTACTTTAAAGATGTGCTGTATGTTGTATGTGTTGTATGAGGACTTTACTTACTTTAAAGATGTGCTGTATGTTGTATGTGAGGACTTTACTTACTTTAAAGATGTGCTGTATGTTGTATGTGTTGTTTGAGAGGACTTTACTTACTTTAAAGATGTGCTGTATGTTGTATGTGAGGACTTTACTTACTTTAAAGATGTGCTGTATGTTGTATGTGTTGTATGAGTGGACTTTACTTACTTTAAAGATGTGCTGTATGTTGTATGTTAGGACTTTACTCACTTTAAAGATGTGCTGTATGTTGTATGTAAGGACTTTACTTACTTTAAAGATGTGTTGTATGTTGTATGTGTTGTTTGAGAGGACTTTACTTACTTTAAAGATGTGTTGTATGTTGTATGTGAGGACTTTACTTACTTTAAAGATGTGCTGTATGTTGTATGTGTTGTATGTGAGGACTTTACTTACTTTAAAGATGTGCTGTATGTTGTATGTGTTGTATGAGAACTTTACTTACTTTAAAGATGTGCTGTATGTTGTATGTGTTGTATGAGAGGACTTTACTTACTTTAAAGATGTGCTGTATGTTGTATGTGAGGACTTTACTTACTTTAAAGATGTGTTGTATGTTGTATGTGTTGTTTGAGAGGACTTTACTTACTTTAAAGATGTGTTGTATGTTGTATGTGAGGACTTTACTTACTTTAAAGATGTGCTGTATGTTGTATGTGTTGTATGAGAGGACTTTACTTACTTTAAAGATGTGTTGTATGTTGTATGTGTTGTTTGTGAGGACTTTACTTACTTTAAAGATGTGCTGTATGTTGTATGTGAGGACTTTACTTACTTTAAAGATGTGCTGTATGTTGTATGTGAGGACTTTACTTACTTTAAAGATGTGCTGTATGTTGTATGTGTTGTATGTGAGGACTTTACTTACTTTAAAGATGTGCTGTATGTTGTATGTGAGGACTTTACTTACTTTAAAGATGTGTTGTATGTTGTATGTGTTGTTTGTGAGGACTTTACTTACTTTAAAGATGTGTTGTATGTTGTATGTGAGGACTTTACTTACTTTAAAGATGTGCTGTATGTTGTATGTGTTGTATGAGAGGACTTTACTTACTTTAAAGATGTGTTGTATGTTGTATGTGAGGACTTTACTTACTTTAAAGATGTGCTGTATGTTGTTTGTGAGGACTTTACTTACTTTAAAGATGTGTTGTATGTTGTATGTGTTGTTTGTGAGGACTTTACTTACTTTAAAGATGTGTTGTATGTTGTATGTGAGGACTTTACTTACTTTAAAGATGTGCTGTATGTTGTATGTGTTGTATGAGAGGACTTTACTTACTTTAAAGATGTGTTGTATGTTGTATGTGAGGACTTTACTTACTTTAAAGATGTGCTGTATGTTGTATGTGTTGTATGAGTGGACTTTACTTACTTTAAAGATGTGCTGTATGTTGTATGTGAGGACTTTACTTACTTTAAAGATGTGCTGTATGTTGTATGTGAGGACTTTACTTACTTTAAAGATGTGCTGTATGTTGTATGTGTTGTATGTGAGGACTTTACTTACTTTAAAGATGTGTTGTATGTTGTATGTGTTGTTTGTGAGGACTTTACTTACTTTAAAGATGTGTTGTATGTTGTATGTGAGGACTTTACTTACTTTAAAGATGTGCTGTATGTTGTATGTGTTGTATGAGAGGACTTTACTTACTTTAAAGATGTGTTGTATGTTGTATGTGAGGACTTTACTTACTTTAAAGATGTGCTGTATGTTGTATGTGTTGTATGAGTGGACTTTACTTACTTTAAAGATGTGCTGTATGTTGTATGTGTGGACTTTACTTACTTTAAAGATGTGCTGTATGTTGTATGTGTTGTTTGAGAGGACTTTACTTACTTTAAAGATGTGCTGTATGTTGTATGTGTTGTATGAGTGGACTTTACTTACTTTAAAGATGTGCTGTATGTTGTATGTGTTGTTTGAGAGGACTTTACTTACTTTAAAGATGTGCTGTATGTTGTATGTGTTGTTTGAGTGGACTTTACTTACTTTAAAGATGTGCTGTATGTTGTATGTGAGGACTTTACTTACTTTAAAGATGTGCTGTATGTTGTATGTGTTGTTTGAGAGGACTTTACTTACTTTAAAGATGTGCTGTATGTTGTATGTGTTGTTTGTGAGGACTTTACTTACTTTAAAGATGTGTTGTATGTTGTATGTGTTGTATGAGAAGACTTTACTTACTTTAAAGATGTGCTGTATGTTGTATGTGTTGTTTGAGAGGACTTTACTTACTTTAAAGATGTGCTGTATGTTGTATGTGTTGTATGAGGACTTTACTTACTTTAAAGATGTGCTGTATGTTGTATGTGTTGTATGAGAGGACTTTACTTACTTTAAAGATGTGCTGTATGTTGTATGTGTTGTATGAGTGGACTTTACTTACTTTAAAGATGTGCTGTATGTTGTATGTGTTGTTTGAGAGGACTTTACTTACTTTAAAGATGTGTTGTATGTTGTATGAGAGGACTTTACTTACTTTAAAGATGTGCTGTATGTTGTATGTGTTGTTTGAGAGGACTTTACTTACTTTAAAGATGTGCTGTATGTTGTATGTGAGGACTTTACTTACTTTAAAGATGTGCTGTATGTTGTATGTGTTGTATGTGAGGACTTTACTTACTTTAAAGATGTGCTGTATGTTGTATGTGTTGTTTGTGAGGACTTTACTTACTTTAAAGATGTGTTGTATGTTGTATGTGAGGACTTTACTTACTTTAAAGATGTGCTGTATGTTGTATGTGAGGACTTTACTTACTTTAAAGATGTGTTGTATGTTGTATGTGAGGACTTTACTTACTTTAAAGATGTGCTGTATGTTGTATGTGAGGACTTTACTTACTTTAAAGATGTGCTGTATGTTGTATGTGAGGACTTTACTTACTTTAAAGATGTGTTGTATGTTGTATGTGAGGACTTTACTTACTTTAAAGATGTGCTGTATGTTGTATGTGAGGACTTTACTTACTTTAAAGATGTGTTGTATGTTGTATGTGTTGTTTGAGTGGACTTGACTTACTTTAAAGATGTGCTGTATGTTGTATGTGAGGACTTTACTTACTTTAAAGATGTGCTGTATGTTGTATGTGTTGTTTGAGTGGACTTGACTTACTTTAAAGATGTGCTGTATGTTGTATGTGAGGACTTTACTTACTTTAAAGATGTGTTGTATGTTGTATGTGAGGACTTTACTTACTTTAAAGATGTGCTGTATTTTGTATGTGTTGTTTGAGAGGACTTTACTTACTTTAAAGATGTGCTGTATGTTGTATGTGAGGACTTTACTTACTTTAAAGATGTGCTGTATGTTGTATGTGTTGTTTGAGAGGACTTTACTTACTTTAACTCTTTTCAATTCTCTCCCTTAGCCATCGTTCTTATAAGATCGACGCAGAAATGTGTATTTTTGAATAACAAGCACTAAGCTTTTTAAAAAAAATTTAACGGCATTATTTTCCTAATTGTATTATCATTTATAAATAACACACATAAAATGCGAAACTTATTTTCTTATTATGAAAATTGCGAAAGAAAACACTTGAACCGAGCATGCCTTTCTTACGCCATTTTGGATTTTTCGTGAAGTTGATTTGAGACAGGCACCTCGAATTAATTGAAAATAAAATGCCTAACGACGAAAGTGACATGAGTTTTTGTGATGAATCGTCTGATGAAGATATTGTGGAAACAGATATCGAAGATTCAGATGAAGATATGGGAAATACCTCTGTTAGTAACTCTACACAACAAGGGAATAGTCTTCTGTGAGTTTACATCTTTTTTTTTCACTACTAAAACTGAACATTTTTAGTTAAATTACCCCACCTATATATTAATCTTTATAACAAACACCTGTATTAGTTACAGCATTCTTTTTTTTAAAATTCCATGTAATTTGAAGTAATTATATTATTTATAATGCATACAAACATTTTTTTTTAAAATACACCATTCACACCAGTAAATAAAAAAAAATGGTTGCTAAGGAGCTGTTTACATTGGATGCTCTAGCATCTTGTAACTTTGCCAAATCATTTTTTATTTGTATTATTGTTATCTAACTGTACTTGCTTAGTTACTAAAGTAGGCCTATATTTCAATTTTCCCTTGCTATTAAATTGTATGTACTATAATAAATCATTTCATTATTATCTAAGTTGTCAACATTTATTTCATATTTTATTTTTTTGTTTTCAGACCCAAGACAGCATCTGATGTAGACGGTGGTCCCCCAGTTCGCCTTCCCAAATTCCGACCTGCTAAGCAACCTGGAATTCATCTTAGTCAAACTGGGGAGAAGTTAACTAAAAGTGCTGCTAGGGAATTCTTGAGCCCTGTGTCCTTTTTCAAGCTGTACTTCACGGTGGATCTGGTGAAGACAATCGTAATGTACACCAACAAGTATGCAGCACACTGTGGACCAACAAGACCTTCTGTCTTCAAAGGGTGGTATAATTTAAGTATCGATGAGTTTTATTCTTTTTTAGGTTTGCTGATGTACATGTCCATAGTTCAAGCACCAAGTGTAGCAAAATATTGGTGCACATCGTCTCTTTACCATGGCTTATGGGCTCGTAGATTCATGACGAAGAAGAGATTCACACAAATAATGTCTTTTTTAAAGGTTTCAAACTTTGAGACAGAAAACCCAGATGACAAGCTGAGTAAAGTAAGGTTTTTGTATGAATACATTCATAGAAAATGTCAGGCACTTTATCAGCCAAACCAACATTTGTCTATTGATGAAAGAATGGTAAGAAATAAGGGCAGATACACTTTCCGTCAGTATATTCGTGATAAGCCAACTAAATGGGGAATGAAACTATGGGTATTAGCTGAATCTATTACTGGCTACACTTATGATTTTGAAGTTTATTTAGGTAAGCAAGACAAGACACCGCAGACTTCTACCTTTGGCTTAGCTTATGATGTAGTAATGCGATTGTCAAAATCAGTTATGAATCAGGGTTATCTTTTATTTTTTGACAACTTTTATACTAGTGTTAAACTATTGAAAGATCTTTTTAAATGTGGAATTGGTGCTTGTGGCACAATTTTAAAAAATAGAAAAGGTTTTCCTATTGCTCTAAAAGATGTGAAGTCTTTTGAAAAAGTTTCAAAAAGAGGTGATATGCGATGGTTTAGGGAACGGGAAATTGTAACAGTTCAGTGGCGTGATAATAAAACTGTGTCTGTAATGTCTAATTTTATGACGGCTAATGGTTCAGCAAAGGTAAACAGAAGAACTAAGGTTGGAGGTATTTTTACACAGTTGTCTGTTGATCAACCACATATTATTCAGGAATATAATTCACATATGGGAGGGGTAGATAAGAGTGACCAATTAATTAATAAATATAATGTTCTAAGAAAAACTAAAACGTTTTGGAAAACTCTGTTTTTTCATTTCATTGATATTTCTAGGGTTAATAGTTACATTTTATTTCAGGAATGGAGAAAGACCAACCCTGATCTTGTGGAACTTGCTAGGCCAAAAAGATACTTACAGTTAGATTTTACAGAGGAGCTCATTCGAGAATTAGCAAAAATAGATATGTTTCAAGAAATACCCTCAGCTCTTAAAGTTACACTTAAAAAAGCTAAAGTTAAGAAAGTTAAACCTAGCCATAGTATTGTTCCAGAATTTAGTCGCTCTAGGCGTAATTGTAAATTATGTTATAGAACTTTAGGTATAGAGAGAAAGGTCACCACTAAGTGTCGCACCTGTGATACGTATCTATGTTTCCATAGAAAGAAAAACTGTTTGTTAAAATTTCACCAGTCTTCTTAAACCTTGTTTCATTTTTCTTTTGTTATCAATAACCTCATTTTTGTAAACATTGATAATAATAATTTCTTTCCAAATATTTTTTTTTTTAATTTTCACTTATTTCCCCTTACACAGGTCATGTTACTGTTTATTGCATAATTTTTTCAGTTCTTGTTCAAAATGTACTACATCACCTGTTTTATACACAGAAATGAATAATCTATTCAATAAACATCACTTTGTTTTATTATAGTGCAAGGCTTATTTTTTTTCTTCTTTATGTTTGTCATGTCTTTAGTAAAAAAAAAAAAAGTCAAATTTAATTAATTAATTAATTAATTGTGGTATCAAGGTCACACATGATAAAGTTGATTTTATAATTTATGCTGATACTACATTCAATTACCTAAACAGTGATGCATAACACTATATGCTTTCCTTGCTTAATAATGTTTTAGTGAACATTTTACTATATAGACCTGAGGATTCCAATATTTCACTACTAAATCTGAGAATTGTAAAGAGTTAAAGATGTGCTGTATGTTGTATGTGAGGACTTTACTTACTTTAAAGATGTGCTGTATGTTGTATGTGTTGTATGTGAGGACTTTACTTACTTTAAAGATGTGCTGTATGTTGTATGTGTTGTTTGTGAGGACTTTACTTACTTTAAAGATGTGTTGTATGTTGTATGTGAGGACTTTACTTACTTTAAAGATGTGCTGTATGTTGTATGTGTTGTATGAGAGGACTTTACTTACTTTAAAGATGTGCTGCTTTTCATAATCATTAAAATCTGTTGCAGGCCCAGCATCATCAGCATATGTTGCCTGTGTATTACCCTGTATAGTTAGAGGTTAGTCATGTTATTTTAGTCTATCATGCAACAGTCACTGTCAAGTATAGAAATATGGCAACAAAGTTAATGTCACATGTCAACAAAGTAGATGTCAGCAAAGTAGATGTCACATGTCAACAATGTAGATGTCACATGTCAACAAAGTAGATGTAAACAAAGTAGATGTCAACAAAGTAGATGTCACATGTTAACAAAGTAGATGTCAACAAAGTAGATTTCACATGTCAACAAAGTAGATGTCAACAAAGTAGATGTCACATGTCAACAAACTAGATGTCAACAAAGTAGATGTTAACAAAGTAGATGTCAACAAAGTAGATGTCACATGTTAACAAAGTAGATGTCAACAAAGTAGATTCACATGTCAACAAAGTAGATGTCAACAAAGTAGATGTCACATGTCAACAAACTAGATGTCAACAAAGTAGATTTCACATGTCAACAAACTAGATGTCAACAAAGTAGATGTCACATGTCAACAAAGTAGATGTTACATGTCAACAAAGTAGATGCCAATGTCAACAAACTAGAAACAAATGAGATTCTCTAGGACTAACCTCATGATTAATACCATTGACATTGCCTTCTGTTTTAGACTTGCCCATGCGTTTGCGTTTCATGTTATATGCCATGTATGGTGATTCCTCATAATTAGATTCTTGTGAGAGTGTTTTGATGTAATCTGCAGCCCGCAGCTCAATAAAAAAGTGGATGAGCCCATCGGCCACCAGGTCATGGATGGAATCAAATCTCTTCTCTCCGACATAGTGCTTGCCATCATAGTAAAGCTTGTAATTTTTGGTTTCTCCATCAAATCTACACACACAATGGGAAGGTAAGAACAAACTGACAACATCAGACAACATACAAGCACACATACAAGCAAGCATGGATGGAATCAAATCTCTTCTCTCCGACATAGTGCTTGCCATCATAGTAAAGCTTGTAATTTTTGGTTTCTCCATCAAATCTACACACACAATGGGAAGGTAAGAACAAACTGACAACATCAGACAACATACAAGCACACATACAAGCAAGCATGGATGGAATCAAATCTCTTCTCTCCGACATAGTGCTTGCCATCATAGTAAAGCTTGTAATTTTTGGTTTCTCCATCAAATCTACACACACAATGGGAAGGTAAGAACAAACTGACAACATCAGACAACATATAAGCACACATACAAGCAAGCATGCATGATCCTCCGGGGATGACTAAGTAGATTCCCAGATGTACTCAGCCAGAATTCATCCACATAGAAATGTTCACAACAAGTTCAAATTTATTTCATGACAGTCATCAATGTTTAATAAAAGGGTTAAATAAGATCCAAGAACCTTTAATATTAGGGTTAAATACTTTTCATCAATGTTTAATATTAGGGTTAAATACTTTTCATCAATGTTTAATATTAGGGTTAAATACTTTTCATCAATGTTTAATATTAGGGTTAAATACTTTTCATCAATGTTTAATATTAGGGTTAAATACTTTTCATCAATGTTTAATATTAGGGTTAAATACTTTTCATCAATGTTTAATATTAGGGTTAAATACTTTTCATCAATGTTTAATATTAGGGTTAAATACTTTTCATCAATGTTTAATATTAGGGTTAAATACTTTTCATCAATGTTTAATATTAGGGTTAAATACTTTTCATCAATGTTTAATATTAGGGTTAAATACTTTTCATCAATGTTTAATATTAGGGTTAAATACTTTTCATCAATGTTTAATATTAGGGTTAAATACTTTTCATCAATGTTTAATATTAGGGTTAAATACTTTTCATCAATGTTTAATATTAGGGTTAAATACTTTTCATCAATGTTTAATACTGAAGAAAGACAAAGTGAAACTAAGAAAATTATGAAGGCTCACAAATCTATATATATATAATTCTCTTCATGGGTACCATAGAAAACACCACGCAGCTTAGACACCACCCTCATCCCCATCTGTCAGGTGAGCTGTGATTCACCCCGAATGTTTACAATCATAGAGCCAGGTTAGTGACGGCTATTAGGGGGCAGATAATTTAGTATTAAACTATTTGAAAGGTAAGGGAGGTAACAATTTCTGATTGATCTTTTCTTTGTCTTTAACTGGCTGCTTTCACTAGGAGGGGGGGAGGGAGTGCGGGATGGGGTAGTGTTGAATTCACAAATTATGAACTGCTGATAAAGCAGAAAATAAAACAACTAGATGGTGGCGTATACTACGTCGCGGGTCAGCTCGTTTATAATAAACTTGTACATTGAGATGTCTGTCTGTTATTTTATAAATAGAATGGTTTCTTGATTAATACATTGATTAATCAGACTGGCCCCTATAAGAATAACTGATACATCTAGAATATAACTGGCCACGTAGTGTGTCAGTCAGTCCTTCCTTCCTTCCTTCCATCATTGCTATAGATTTGGGAACCATAAAAGAAAAACCACATGCCATGATTACAAATGCATCTCATTGTCTTATTTAAAGTGTCGGTGTAAGGTTTATTTATTTAATGAATTACTTAATTTTTTTTATTGTTGGCAAAGTTTTTATTCTTTTGCATATGTCAACAAAAGAACGTGAAGAAAATATTAAATATACGCACATTGCTAAAACGATTCCATGACAATTGATCTCACGACAAATGATCTCAAGGACAAATTATCTCAAGGACAAATGATCTCACGGACGAAAGATATCAGGACAAAACTGTTTCTGAGACATTCTAGAACATAAAATGCCTTTTGAAACTATAACTGCTACTTGAATATGTAAGACTGGTAATTTGAAATTTCAAGATGGGCAGTTGACAAATCAACATCTTTAATTCAAGCTAGTACCTTTAGAGGTAATTCTTGTACATTGAAGTCAGACTGGTACTTTGATAATCTACAAAAGCTGTTGGATAATTCACTCTAATCTTAGGCAATAATCAGAATAGTAGGCTACTATAAAAATGGTATCTTGGTCTTAGACTGCTCCTTTTGTGTCAGGCTGGTGATGTGAGGCTAGAACACTAGCAAGTCAGGAGAATGACTTGATCATTTAGGAAAACTATCTTTGGTATATTGAGGGTTGGTGATTCATTTCAGACTTGAAAATGAAGCAACTCACATATATTATTCTTGAAGGTAAACTTCTAACAGTAAAATGAAGCTACTAACATATATTATTCTTGAAGGTAAACTTCTAACAGTAAAATGAAGCTACTCACATATATTATTCTTGAAGGTAAACTTCTAACAGTAAAATGAAGCAACTCACATATATTATTCTTGAAGGTAAACTTCTAACAGTAAAATGAAGCAACTCACATATATTATTCTTGAAGGTAAACTTCTAACAGTAAAATGAAGCTACTAACATATATTATTCTTGAAGGTAAACTTCTAACAGTAAAATGAAGCTACTAACATATATTATTCTTGAAGGTAAACTTCTAACAGTAAAATGAAGCAACTCACATATATTATTCTTGAAGGTAAACTTCTAACAGTAAAATGAAGCAACTCACATATATTATTCTTGAAGGTAAACTTCTAACAGTAAAATGAAGCAACTCACATATATTATTCTTGAAGGTAAACTTCTAACAGTAAAATGAAGCTACTAACATATATTATTCTTGAAGGTAAACTTCTAACAGTAAAATGAAGCTACTAACATATATTATTCTTGAAGGTAAACTTCTAACAGTAAAATGAAGCAACTCACATATATTATTCTTGAAGGTAAACTTCTAACAGTAAAATGAAGCAACTCACATATATTATTCTTGAAGGTAAACTTCTAACAGTAAAATGAAGCAACTCACATATATTATTCTTGAAGGTAAACTTCTAACAGTAAAATGAAGCAACTCACATATATTATTCTTGAAGGTAAACTTCTAACAGTAAAATGAAGCAACTCACATATATTATTCTTGAAGGTAAACTTCTAACAGTAAAATGAAGCTACTAACATATATTATTCTTGAAGGTAAACTTCTAACAGTAAAATGAAGCTACTCATATATTGTTCATCAACAAAGTTCAAGCAAGGCATATGTTATTTCAAACAAATATTCACAGTCTATTTGAGTTTACTTTAACAGAACCCTTGACCTCTAACAGAACCCTTGACCTCTAACAGAACCCTTGACCTCTAACAGAACCCTTGACCTCTAACGGAACCCTTGACCTCTAACGGAACCCTTGACCTCTAACGGAACCTTGACCTTTAACGGAACCCTTGACCTTTAATGGAACCCTTGACCTCTAACGGAACCCTTGACCTCTAACAGAACCCTTGACCTCTAACGGAACCTTTGACCTCTAACGGAACCCTTGACCTCTAACAGAACCCTTGACCTCTAACTGAACCCTTGACCTTTAACGGAACCCTTGACCTCTAACAGAACCCTTGACCTCTAATGGAACCCTTGACCTCTAGTGGAACCCTTGACCTTTAACAGAACCCTTGACCTCTAACAGAACCCTTGACCTCTAACAGAACCCTCGACCTTTAAGGGGTCATCCATAAATAATGTCACACTCATAGGGGAGAGGGGGGACCCATAATTGTGACAGTGCGTGATGAGGGGGAGGGGGGGGGGGGGGCAAAAAAAAAAGCGTGACGTCATTTATGGATGACCCCTAACAGAACCCTTGAACTCTAACAGAACCATTGACCTCTAACGGAACTCTTGACCTCTAGTGGAACTCTCGACTTGTAATGGACCCTTGACCTCTGACAGAACTCTTGACCTCTAACAGAACCCATAACTTCTAAAATGGGCTTTAACCTTCACCAGAAACCTTAGGACTTACATGTGAGCAAATGTTTCATTACATGAAAAGAAATGTTACAATTGTCAAGACAGACCAGACAAGATCTGACCGCCATGATAAATTCACCTTATGGCCAAAGTAAAAGCATCTGGTGCCCTTTCACTCTTCCTAACCAGATAACATCCATCTCTGTTCAAAAGCCTGTCTGCCTCTTGCCTGCTTAGTGCTCCATGAAACCTATCAAGAAATTCAATCATTAGGAAACAACACCAAATATTACTTCAATAAATTCAATCATTAGTCAATGAAAAGAAAATAATATTACTGCAATAAATTGTTTTTAATCTTACTAATGACAACCTCATTATATAATCTTGCTATGACCACCTTGTTATATAATCGTACTAATGACCACCTTGTTATATAATCTTGCTAGTGACCACCTTGTTATATAATCTTGCTAGTGACCACCTTGTTATATAATCTTGCTAGTGACCACCTTGTTAAATAATCTTGCTAATTGCCACCTTGTTATAGAATTTTCCTAGTGACCACCTTGTTAAATAATCTTGCTAATTGCCACCTTGTTATAGAATCTTGCTATATTATAGTGAAATTCATTCATTATATAATCATGCTAATGGCCACCTCGTTATATAACCTTGCTAGTGACCACCTCTTTATATAACCTTGCTAATGGCCATCTCATTATATAATCTTGCTAGTCACCACCTCGTTATAAATTCTTGCCTGTGACCAGCTCTTTACAAAAATTGAGCAAGCAACCACCCCCTCTAGATATTATAAAAACTTATGGACTGAGCCTTCCCTTATGTAAGTTATGTTTGCTCTATCACACCCCCCCCCCCTCCCCCAACAACATTTTAAAATCAGTTGGTATCACATTCTATATATTACATTTTAAAATCAGTTGGTATCACATTCTATATATTACATTTTAAAATCAGTTGGTATCACATTCTATATATTACATTTTAAAATCAGTTGGTATCACATTCTATATATTACATTTTAAAATCAGTTGGTATCACATTCTATATATTACATTTTAAAATCAGTTGGTATCACATTCTATATATTACATTTTAAAATCAGTTGGTATCAGAGGTCTGATGTTTTTTTAAGATTAATTTATTAATTAATTATTAATTATACATTCAAGAGTTTGTATTGCTTAAATAATTATACATTCAAGAGTTTGTATTTCTTAAATAATTATACATTCAAGAGTTTGTATTTCTTAAATAATTATACATTCAAGAGTTTGTATTGCTTAAATAATTATACATTCAAGAGTTTGTATTGCTTAAATAATTATACATTCAAGAGTTTGTATTGCTTAAATAATTATACATTCAAGAGTTAGTATTGCTTAAATAATTATACATTCAAGAGTTAGTATTGCTTAAATAATTATACATTCAAGAGTTAGTATTGCTTAAATAATTATATATTCAAGAGTTAGTATTGCTTAAATAATTATACATTCAAGAGTTTGTATTGCTTGAATAATTATACATTCAAGAGTTTGTATTTCTTAAATAATTATACATTCAAGAGTTTGTATTGCTTAAATAATTATACATTAAAGAGTTTGTATTGCTTAAATAATTATACATTCAAGAGTTTGTATTGCTTAAATAATTATACATTCAAGAGTTTGTATTGCTTAATTAATTATACATTCAAGAGTTTGTATTGCTTAAATAATTATACATTCAAGAGTTTGTATTGCTTAAATAATTATACATTCAAGAGTTTGTATTGCTTAAATAATTATACATTCAAGAGTTTGTATTGCTTAAATAATTATACATTCAAGAGTTTGTATTGCTTAAATAATTATACATTCAAGAGTTTGTATTGCTTAAATAATAATAGTGTCAAAATTAGTACTTGTTAGTATTAGTATTGGGGTTCTATTTTAAACATCATTGGTTTTTTTAAGAAACCTAGGCAAAGTTAGAGAGAATGTCCAATGCGTCCTAAGATAAATAAAGGATTAAAATAGAAGTGCTTGTTTGTTATACTAGACATGATTTGACAAAATGAACAAAGTACAAATAAGAGAAGTGTTTGTTTGTTGTTCTAGACATGATTTGACAAAATGAACAAAGTACAAATAAGAGAAGTGCTTGTTTGTTGTACTAGACATGATTTGACAAAATGAACAAAGTACAAATAAGAGAAGTGTTTGTTTGTTATACTAGACATGATTTGACAAAATGCTCTAACAAAATACTTACTCTTTCCCATACTGGGCTGGCTTGTTGGGGACCTAGGAATAAATGTTGATAGTTAACTTTTGACATAAATGACAATGTGTCTCATTCTTTAAAATACATGCATCATATGTCTCTTATTTTAAACGAGAAAAATGGCCCGTTGAGGAAGGATACAACGCGCTAGGTTGATAGTGCTGTCTCTTTTCTCTAAACTAAAACCAAAATCTTAACTAAATTTAACTGGAAACAAAAAATGACATTGAAAACTGATTTTTATCCAGAATTGTCATTTTTATCGCATTTAAGCTTGATCTACACATAGTTATCGCACATTCATACTAAATATACTAAATATATTTAATATAGTCGTAGCCATACCTCAAAACCATGCACCTAATCTCAATCATGACAAAAGTCGCATTTAGAGTTTCTTTCAGGCAACTACTTGGGGGGAAGGGGCTCCTACTACCCCCCCCCCCCCCCCACACACACCAAAGCACCTCTTCAGTCCCATTCAACGATATATAATTGTATAATTTTTCCAGTCCGTCCACTCACAGAATATTCCACCCCGCCCCCAAAAATTTCAAGCACCCCACCCACTTTTAAGATTAGACAAAATAGGCTTTTTAATTCAATGTTTACTGGAGAATCAATGACGTCATATTATTGTGTGCTCTCCCCAGGCTTTAGACTATATTTCCTACTATATGCTCCATGTGGCGTCACGTTTCGTTTTTGTTTTACTATGAAAGTTTTTATTTTGCTTGTGTTTTCTCTATAGCGTTCTTGACAGATAGATACATAGATATATAGATACATAGACAGTGAAACTATTCTCTTATTTTAAATGCATTCTTTGATTTGGAATTATCTATCTTACTCTTTAAGTCCTAAACATCAAATATTTTCCACTAGTAGATTGTGCTGATAAAAAATACACATAGTTTGACTAGGGCATAACTAAGACAAGCCAATGGTCAGATAAAACAAGATGGCAGCCCCATACAACAAAGTCAGGATCACTCCAATAGAGTAAGGTCAGGATCACTCCAACAGAGTGAGGTCAGGATCACTCCAATAGAGTAAGGTCAGGATCACTCCAACAGAGTAAGGTCAGGATCACTCCAATAGAGTAAGGTCAGGATCACTCCAATAGAGTAAGGTCATGATCACTCCAATAGAGTAAGGTCAGGATCACTCCAACAGAGTAAGGTCAGGATCACTCCAACCCAGTAAGGCCAGGATCACTCCAACCCAGTAAGGTCAGGATCACTCCAACACAGTAAGGTCAGGATCACTCCAACCCAGTAAGGTCAGGATCACTCCAACCCAGTAAGGTCAGGATCACTCCAACCCAGTAAGGTCAGGATCACTCCAATAGAGTAAGGTCAGGATCACTCCAACAGAGTAAGGTCAGGATCACTCCAACCCAGTAAGGTCAGGATCACTCCAACAGAGTAAGGTCAGGATCACTCCAACCCAGTAAGGTCAGGATCACTCCAATAGAGTAAGGTCAGGATCACTCCAACCCAGTAAGGTCAGGATCACTCCAACCTAGTAAGGTCAGGATCACTCCAATAGAGTAAGGTCAGGATCACTCCAACAGTAAAGTTTTCAGGTTAGGGGGAGAGCAAGTTGACAAAAAGGGGCCATAAATAAATAAATATATGCTTTTATATATATATAGGGGCCCTACAATTATATATTATTACATACACACACACACACACACACATATATATATATATATATATATATATATATATATATATATATATATATATATATATATATATATATATATATATATATATATATATGCCTATACATACATATTTATATAAATATAGTTATATATATACATAAATAAAAATATCAAAGCATGAAGACATTTTGCAAAACTTGTGCTTTTTTCCATAGTAACAAATGATAGTAATTTTGAATAATAGCATAAACATATTTCTTTCAGCTCAACTATTTGATTCAACAAAATTATTTTTCTTGCCTTTCAGATATTTGCATTTTTGAATTAGTGACTGATTTTTGTGTTTTTTAAATCTTTTTTTTTTTAACATAAGGTTAAGGTATGGGTTTGATCACTTTATTGGTCACACACCTCTTCACATGCAATAGCAAAAACAATATTCACAGTTTTACCTATTTCAAAAGCTATAATTCTGATAGTAAAAAAAAAACAACTATATTTTTTCTATTTCTGAATTTCGGTAATTCATATTTAGGTAGATGTTTTAATTTTATCCATAGTATTTTTGTATTGTTTTAACAAAATTTACCACTGATATTTAAGTATAATTTTGTTCATCTGTACCAGCTGATCTTCTTGATTCATACCAAAAGTTTTTTAAGTTGTCTGACAATGTAAACCTAGGTAAACAATTACAAGTCTAGACTGATCTTAAAACCAGAAAATAATAGACCTCCCATATAAAAGATGGATGGCTGAATTGAGCCTGACCACTCAAGCAAAGGCTACACTTAGATCGATGTGTTTGTGGTTGAATGTACATACCCAGCTAGAACAACACAAACAGCTGATTTACAGGCGCTAGCGTGGGTTGTCATGGTGACAAACAGCTGATATACAGATGCTAGCGTGGGTTGTCATGGTGACAAACAGCTGATATACAGATGCTAGCGTGGGTTGTCATGGTGACAAACAGCTGATATATAGATGCTAGCGTGGGTTGTCATGGTGACAAACAGCTGATGTACAGATGCTAGCGTGGGTTGTCATGGTGACAAACAGCTGATGTACAGATGCTAGCGTGGGTTGTCATGTTGATAAAAAGCGCCTCGCTCGTGCCTGTCAAACAGCTAGGCTTGGAGAAGTAAGTCAAGAAGTATACACATTAACACGACTGTTTCAAATTTGTGTTTCAGTAATGTGTTTGCACTTTTTTTTTTTGTGTTGCCAAACTTGTTTTAAATTTGATGTAATTAATCTCAAAAGGGTCCACTATCCATAAAATGGTAGTAGGGGGAGCCATGTGTATGCTACTGTCAGGATCACTGCACTAGAGCCCAACTTAGTAGTCCAAAAAAAATAGTAAAAAAGAAAAATAGTATGAGCAGACGAAGACAAATGCAAAAAGTACATCTTTAGCAGGAGTTACAAGTAAACCAGAATAATTAGACAGCAACAATAGTGATAGGGGTAGTTTCATTTGATGCCAGTCCTCAATGTGTTGAGGAATTGAATGTTGTTCGGTATAAATATATCAATTTGTCTTAGCTCTGTATAACAGCGTCTTAACATATATGCCATGTATGTGTCTGATTAACATTCTAATGCTATGAGCAAAAAGTGAATTGCTGTATTTTTACCGCTGTGTAACAAAAGATGAATGCCACATCATAGTTATTGCTGTATTACACAGCTATGAAATCTAAAATAAACCAGGAGTGATCTCCCCTAAACTTTCTCGAATATTCTTATATAAAACAACGGGATGGGAACTCGGGATATAGATATGATTTTTAATCCATTTTAAATAAACTTTTTAAAATAAAAAAAAATCTCGTAGAAAAAAGAATTGCACATCAAGTGAGTGCCAAACAAAATGCACATAATAGTGCGGAATATTATTAGTACTTTATAAATTCACATGAGTTTTTTGAGAAATCAGAAATCACTGAAAATTTGATAGAAGGCAGAAATTTAAATCTTTTACTTACAAGTGAAATTTCATTTATCTATCTGAAATAGTATTCAAGTTACAGGCTTTTGAAAAATTGTAAGTAGAAAAAGTTCCAGTTCCGGTTATTGGAAATTGCTCAAAAGTTGATACTGATCTAAGATTTTGATATAATACTTCAATATGAAATTTCATCAACCAAGCTGTAATGGTACTCAAGTTATCGTGTTTACAGACACACACACACACACATACACACAGACAAGATTACAAAACTATGTTTTTCCAACTCAGGGATTACAAGACTTTCTCTATACTTCATATATACAAGAAAGTAAAAAACACTCATTCAACGACAAATATAAATATATAAAACACAATTATAAAAAGCCTTTTTAACAACAAGCTATTAAATGCACTGAAAATGAGAAAATAAAACTAATTTGATTCCTTTCATAAAAGCTTTGGTTGCTCATGAGATCTTTTACATATTTTAAAGACAAAAGACGAAAGAAACCAAATTAGTTTTTTCATATTTTTAGAGCACTTAAAAGCTTGGTGCTTAAAACGTTTTTTTATATTTGTTGTATTTTCTACTTTTTAGTGATTCTTAATTTATGAAGTTGACACTACTAAAAAGATTTGTTTTGAAAACCCATCGGCAGCTCGTGAAAGATGATTAATCTGCCCCTTGAAAGAAGCCGCTTGAAACCATATCATACAGTCGACAGCAAGTTCTAACCCTTTTTACCTCCCCTTAGTTTCAAATCATATAAAAACTTTATTATCTGCCCCTAATAGCATTCACTAGATCGACTAATTCTACTATTGTAAACATTGAACCACAGCTCACAGAGACTGATAGGGTTAGGGTCGCGTATAGCTATCTCCCCTTTTGTTATTGCATATAGAAATCTTTTTTTTTTTTGGTTATCTTCACTTAGTTTCGAAATGGTTTTGATTAATTGTTAATGACTAATTACTAAGCTAATTAAATAAAAAATATATAGACTTGTAATGTCATCAAAGTGGAACGTATCTGGCAAATTTGTACAAAATCCCAGCACAAGAAGTGGGTCAAAATTGAGTTACAAGATTTTCCACAAACAAATAAACAAACAGATGTTGTGAACTAAATAAAAGCTTGTAAAAATCAGTTTGTAGGGAATTGAATCATGACTAAATTTGAGTTGATTGAAGTAAGTTCACCTCTAATTGCCAATTAAACCCACCTCAAATTGACCTTTAGACAAATCTCTAGTTCACATCAGACCCACATCAAGTTGACAAAAATGATCCACTAAAGTTGACCTAATGATCCACCTCTAGTTGAGCAAATGACCCACCTCAAGTTGACAAAAATGACCCACCTCAAGTTGACAAAAATGACCCACCCCAAGTTGAAGAAATGACCCATCCTAAGTTAACCAAATGACCCACTCAAAGTTGACCAAATGACCCACCCCAAGTTGACCAAATGACCCACTCCAAGTTGACCAAATGACCCACTCCAAATTGACCAAATGACCCACTCCAAGTTGACCAAATGACCCACCCCAAGTTGACCAAATGACCCACCTCAAGTTGACAAAAATGACCCACTCCAAATTGACCAAATGACCCACTCCAAGTTGACCAAATGACCCACCCCAAGTTGACCAAATGACCCACTACAAGTTGACCAAATGACCCACCCCAAGTTGACCAAACGACCCAACCCAAGTTGACCAAATGACCCACCCCAAGTTGACCATTAGACTCACCTCAAGTTGACACTGTATACATATTGGCTTTGGTGCTTGCTGCTGAAGCTCGTATACTGTAGAAACATAGTATCATATATTGAAAAGTTGCAGTTTCTTATATCATATATCAACTAGAAACAGAATCAAATGCCATATATTGATTACATAGTATACATCAACTAGAAACACTGTATCATATATCATATATCCACTAGAAACAGTATCATACATTATATACAGCTAGTATCATATATACAACATAGTATCATACATCCTATATAGACTAGAAACATGGTACCATACATCATACATAGAGTATCATACATGGTTGTTATGGGTTGATTTAATATTACTGTTGACTTTTGTCTAATAAAGAAAGTTTATATTTTATGACAGTAAGATTGTAAAATATAAAGTTTAGATTTTATGACGGTAAGATTGTAAAATATATTTTCATGCTCAGGTAAGCGTATACCATGTCAACATACAATACAATACATAAACAAAATCACAAATACAGCAAGATTGCTTATATGGTAAGTGTATACCATGTCAACACACAATACATAAACAAAATCACAAATACAGCAAGATTGCTTATATGGTAAGTGTATACCATGTCAACACACAATACATAAACAAAATCACAAATACAGCAAGATTGCTTATATGGTAAGTGTATACCATGTCAACACACAATACAATACATAAACAAAATCACAAATACAGCAAGATTGCTTATATGTAGATTTGAATATTAAAAGACTGGGGACCCTTACACAAGGGACGTATGCAGATTTATGTAGATTTGAATATTAAAAGACTGGGGACCCTTACTCAAGGGACGTATGCAGATTTATGGGTAACAGGAGAGACCAGGTAAGGACAAGAGCTATATATAGATCTACATATATATATTATATAGCTCCTTCTCTAGAGTTTTTGCACCCGTTACCCATCAACCTGCATCATACTATCTTATTTACAAGTATCGGAGTAGGCTCTATTTATGTAACCACTTATATTTTTTTTATAGTTGGCAAAGTTTTTACTCTTTTGCATGTCAACAAAAGAACATGAAGAAAACATTAAATATACGCACATTGCTAAAACATTAAACGAATCAATGTCAAATGATAGAGTCGAAAACAAATAATTAATTAAATATAATATAATGTTTAATAATTATGAAAAAAGAAATTCAACTCATGCAAAAGATTGCGATTTAAGTGAAAAATTTTTTTAATCCAACCATATTGATTATAACATGTTTAAGCTCATAATTAAATTTGATTTATGTTAAGACTGTTTATATTATTTCCTGATTAGTCAGTACAAAGTTTTAAAGTTTTTTTTTTATTTCTGTGATCTCTTAATATCATTATTTGTTTTGTTTTTCTGTGTTATTTAAACGGATAGTTAAATTAGAGAATGTGGGAAAGTGTTTTGTTTTTCTGTGTTATTTAAACGGATGGTTAAATTAGAGAATGTGGGAAAGTGTTTTGTTTTTCTGTGTTATTTAAACGGATAGTTAAATTAGAGAATGTGGGAAAGTGTTTTGTTTTTCTGTGTTATTTAAACGGATGGTTAAATTAGAGAATGTGGGAAAGTGTTTTGTTTTTCTGTGTTATTTAAACGGATAGTTAAATTAGAGAATGTGGGAAAGTGTTTTGTTTTTCTGTGTTATTTAAACGGATGGTTAAATTAGAGAATGTGGGAAAGTGTTTTGTTTTTCTGTGTTATTTAAACGGATGGTTAAATTAGAGAATGTGGGAAAGTGTTTTGTTTTTCTGTGTTATTTAAACGGATGGTTAAATTAGAGAATGTGGGAAAGTGTTTTGTTTTTCTGTGTTATTTAAACGGATGGTTAAATAAGAGAATGTGGGAAAGTGTTTTGTTTTTCTGTGTTATTTAAACGGATGGTTAAATTAGAGAATGTGGGAAAGTGTTTTGTTTTTCTGTGTTATTTAAAAGGATAGTTAAATTAGAGAATGTGGGAAAGTGTTTTGTTTTTCTGTGTTATTTAAACGGATGGTTAAATTAGATAATGTGGGAAAGTGTTTTGTTTTTCTGTGTTATTTAAACGGATGGTTAAATTAGAGAATGTGGGAAAGTGTTTTGTTTTTCTGTGTTATTTAAACGGATGGTTAAATTAGATAATGTGGGAAAGTGTTTTGTTTTTCTGTGTTATTTAAACGGATGGTTAAATTAGAGAATGTGGGAAAGTGTTTTGTTTTTCTGTGTTATTTAAACGGATGGTTAAATTAGAGAATGTGGGAAAGTGTTTTGTTTTTCTGTGTTATTTAAACGGATGGTTAAATTAGATAATGTGGGAAAGTGTTTTGTTTTTCTGTGTTATTTAAACGGATGGTTAAATTAGAGAATGTGGGAAAGTGTTTTGTTTTTCTGTGTTATTTAAACGGATGGTTAAATTAGATAATGTGGGAAAGTGTTTTGTTTTTCTGTGTTATTTAAACGGATGGTTAAATTAGAGAATGTGGGAAAGTGTTTTGTTTTTCTGTGTTATTTAAAAGGATAGTTAAATTAGAGAATGTGGGAAAGTGTTTTGTTTTTCTGTGTTATTTAAACGGATGGTTAAATTAGATAATGTGGGAAAGTGTTTTGTTTTTCTGTGTTATTTAAACGGATGGTTAAATTAGAGAATGTGGGAAAGTGTTTTGTTTTTCTGTGTTATTTAAACGGATGGTTAAATTAGATAATGTGGGAAAGTGTTTTGTTTTTCTGTGTTATTTAAACGGATGGTTAAATTAGAGAATGTGGGAAAGTGTTTTGTTTTTCTGTGTTATTTAAACGGATGGTTAAATTAGATAATGTGGGAAAGTGTTTTGTTTTTCTGTGTTATTTAAACGGATGGTTAAATTAGAGAATGTGGGAAAAGCTCTCTCTAGGCACAGAAGCCCAGCGTCTTGTTTGGCGAGGGTTCTAATTACATCGCAACTTGAGGGACGAGGGCCAATCAGTAGGCCATTCGTGAGAGTATTTTTGTTAGAATACATGGCCGTTTGTTTAAGAAAGCCATTTGATAAAGTGTTTAAGTTTGTTTGAGCGTTTTGTTAGTGTTTTCTTTTGTGTTTGTGTTGTGTATAGTTTTGTTCTGTTCCCAAGTTGGCACATTTAAAAAAGATTCACGTGGCGAAGCATGAGTATCCAGCTAGTATATATATATATATATATATATATATATATATATATATATATATATATATATATATATACATGTGAGTGTATATATATGTGTGTGTATATATGTGTGTGTATATATATATACACATATATATACACACACACATATATATATATATATATGTATGTAATTACACACATAAATATGTGTGTGTATATATATATATATATATATATATATATATATATATATATATATATATATATATATATATATATATATATATATATATATATATATATATATATATATATATATATATATATATATATATATATATATATATATATATATATATATATATATATATATATATATAATAGGGTGGTCCTAAGGGTTAGGCACCCCCTAATTGGCTTCCATTTTGTGGTGAAAAAAAAAATCAGAATATATTATTTAAGGGTCCCTATCTAAGCCAGAAGACAAAGCATTTTTTTTAAATTTCACATACATTTGGATAAGTTGATCAATAAACTTATTCATTAATTTAACACAGTGTAGGCTGTAGAAACTTTTAATAAATCTTGAAAGGACAAATTGTATTTACTAAAAAAATTTCAGAAATCTCGACATTTTAGTCCTCCCTTAGTCTGAAAAACTAGCAATCTTGTCTGTATGTCTGTGAACACAATAACTTGAATACAGTTAAAGCTAGGTTGGTGAATTTTTATACAGGAGTATTATATCAAATTTGTTGTTCTGTATCAACTTTTTAGAGATTTCCAGTGACGGGAACTTATTCTACTTTTGGTTTTTCAAAAGCCTATAACTTGAGTACTGTTTCCAATAGATAGGCAAAATTTCTAATACAAGTATTACAAGTAAAAGATCTAATTCTCTGTTTTCTGTCAAATTTTGAGTCATTTTCAATGACGATTTCACAAAAAATAAATATGAATTTATAAAGTACTAATGTTTCGCCCTATTATACATGCATATTTTGCTGTTCACTTGGTGCGCAATTCTTTTTTCTAGGAGATCCTCTTCTATTTTAAAGTTTAAGTATGTAAAAATTGATTAAATAGCATGTCTATATCCCAAGTTGCCATGCCCTGAAGTGTTTTATAAGAATATTCGAGAAAGTTTAGGGAAGATCACTCCCACTTTATTTATTATTTAATTTAGTAATCTTAAGTAATTAAATTTTGAATGACTAACCTAATGTCTAACTATATTAAAAATTAAAGACTCTTGTAATAGAAGGCAAATGTATCTGTAAAGTTTGAACAAAATAGCTGCTATAGAAGTTAATTAAAATTGAACTGCCACAAACCCATTAACACTTATAAAATAACATCTAAATCTGTTGCTTAGGCTGGATTCTTTGAATTTTAACCAACTGAACATGGGTTGGATATACAAAGGGATATAATGTAAACAATAGATTAAAACAACTGTTCTACAGCAAATGCAGCCTGGTTAGAATATCAAGGACTGAGAGAGAAATCAAATGCTACTTACAGTAAGTGTTCCAGGTTGGTGCACTCTGAGTGTCCTCTCCATCTGTAACAACAGAAACATAATCATCATTTCTTTTGACCCTCTGGCGTACCACAGGTGGAGCCCCAACACTACCAGCTGCTGAATTCTTCTTATATAAACCTATCCCTATAGCGCTATGTGGCTGGAGACTGGCAGATCTTCGACATGGTTTATCCAAGTCTTCTCTAAAGCCTTGTGTGTAGTCTAGACTAGTATCAGTGGAATAGCACCTCATGGTCACCTTCCTGTCACCTGACTTTAATGATGGTCCCATAGATCTATGACCAGAAACAACATTGGCTCTACGCAAAACTGGGCTGTCCTGGTGGATTCTTCGTTCAGCCATTGTTTATTCAAAACAACAAATTCTTAAGTATTGTTAGGTCAAAAATATTCTCATATTTTACAACTAAGCACTATTAACATTAAGTTAAAGCATGAGCTAATAAATAAATGGAAATTAGTACTGTCTACAGCTACACAAATCCCACTGTCTTCAGCTAAACAGATCCCACTGTCTACAGCTACACAAATCCCACTGTCTACAGCTACACAAATCTACAGCTACACAAATCTTACTGTCTACAGCTACACAAATCCCACTGTCTACAGCTACACAAATCCCACTGTCTACAGCTACACAAATCCTACTGTCTACAGCTACACAAATCCCACTGTCTACAGCTACACAAATCCCACTGTCTACAGCTACACAAATCCCACTGTCTACAGCTACACAAATCTACAGCTACACAAATCCCACTGTCTACAGCTACACAGATCCCACTGTCTACAGCTACACAAATCCCACTGTCTACAGCTACACAAATCCCACTGTCTACAGCTACACAAATCCCACTGTCTACAGCTACACAAATCTACAGCTACACAAATCCCACTGTCTACAGCTACACAAATCCCACTGTCTACAGCTACACAAATCCCACTGTCTACAGCTACACAAATCTACAGCTACACAAATCCCACTGTCTACAACTACACAGATCCCACTGTCTACAGCTACACAAATCCCACTGTCTACAGCTACACAAATCCCACTGTCTACAGCTACACAAATCTACAGCTACACAAATATTACTGTCTACAGCTACACAAATCCCACTGTCTACAGCTACACAAATCCCACTGTCTACAGCTACACAAATCCTACTGTCTACAGCTACACAAATCCCACTGTCTACAGCTACACAAATCCCACTGTCTACAGCTACACAAATCCCACTGTCTACAGCTACACAAATCTACAGCTACACAAATCCCACTGTCTACAGCTACACAGATCCCACTGTCTACAGCTACACAAATCCCACTGTCTACAGCTACACAAATCCCACTGTCTACAGCTACACAAATCCCACTGTCTACAGCTACACAAATCTACAGCTACACAAATCCCACTGTCTACAGCTACACAAATCCCACTGTCTACAGCTACACAAATCCCACTGTCTACAGCTACACAAATCTACAGCTACACTAATCCCACTGTCTACAACTACACAGATCCCACTGTCTACAGCTACACAAATCCCACTGTCTACAGCTACACAAATCCTACTGTCTACAGCTACACCAATCCTACTGTCTACAGCTACACAAATCCCACTGTCTACAGCTACACAAATCCCACTGTCTACAGCTACACAAATCCCACTGTCTACAGCTACACAGATCCCACTGTCTACAGCTACACAAATCCCACTGTCTACAGCTACACAGATCCCACTGTCTACAGCTACACAGATCCCACTGTCTACAGCTACACAAATACCACTGTCTACAGCTACACAAATCTACAGCTACACAAATCCCACTGTCTACAGCTACACAAATCTTACTGTCTACAGCTACACAAATCCCACTGTCTACAGCTACACAAATCCCACTGTCTACAGCTACACAAATCTACAGCTACACAGATCCCACTGTCTACAGCTACACAAATCCCACTGTCTACAGCTACACAAATCTACAGCTACACAAATCCCACTGTCTACAACTACACAGATCCCACTGTCTACAGCTACACAAATCCCACTGTCTACAGCTACACAAATCCTACTGTCTACAGCTACACCAATCCTACTGTCTACAGCTACACAAATCCCACTGTCTACAGCTACACAAATCCCACTGTCTACAGCTACACAAATCCCACTGTCTACAGCTACACAGATCCCACTGTCTACAGCTACACAAATCCTACTGTCTACAGCTACACAGATCCCACTGTCTACAGCTACACAGATCCCACTGTCTACAGCTACACAAATACCACTGTCTACAGCTACACAAATCTACAGCTACACAAATCCCACTGTCTACAGCTACACAAATCTTACTGTCTACAGCTACACAAATCCCACTGTCTACAGCTACACAAATCCCACTGTCTACAGCTACACAAATCCCACTGTCTACAGCTACACAAATCTACAGCTACACAAATCCCACTGTCTACAGCTACACAGATCCCACTGTCTACAGCTACACAAATCCCACTGTCTACAGCTACACAAATCCCACTGTCTACAGCTACACAAATCCCACTGTCTACAGCTACACAAATCTACAGCTACACAAATCCCACTGTCTACAGCTACACAAATCCCACTGTCTACAGCTACACAAATCCCACTGTCTACAGCTACACAAATCTACAGCTACACAAATCCCACTGTCTACAACTACACAGATCCCACTGTCTACAGCTACACAAATCCCACTGTCTACAGCTACACAAATCCTACTGTCTACAGCTACACCAATCCTACTGTCTACAGCTACACAAATCCCACTGTCTACAGCTACACAAATCCCACTGTCTACAGCTACACAAATCCCACTGTCTACAGCTACACAGATCCCACTGTCTACAGCTACACAAATCCCACTGTCTACAGCTACACAGATCCCACTGTCTACAGCTACACAGATCCCACTGTCTACAGCTACACAAATACCACTGTCTACAGCTACACAAATCTACAGCTACACAAATCCCACTGTCTACAGCTACACAAATCTTACTGTCTACAGCTACACAAATCCCACTGTCTACAGCTACACAAATCCCACTGTCTACAGCTACACAAATCTACAGCTACACAGATCCCACTGTCTACAGCTACACAAATCCCACTGTCTACAGCTACACAAATCTACAGCTACACAAATCCCACTGTCTACAACTACACAGATCCCACTGTCTACAGCTACACAAATCCCACTGTCTACAGCTACACAAATCCTACTGTCTACAGCTACACCAATCCTACTGTCTACAGCTACACAAATCCCACTGTCTACAGCTACACAAATCCCACTGTCTACAGCTACACAAATCCCACTGTCTACAGCTACACAGATCCCACTGTCTACAGCTACACAAATCCTACTGTCTACAGCTACACAGATCCCACTGTCTACAGCTACACAGATCCCACTGTCTACAGCTACACAAATACCACTGTCTACAGCTACACAAATCTACAGCTACACAAATCCCACTGTCTACAGCTACACAAATCTTACTGTCTACAGCTACACAAATCCCACTGTCTACAGCTACACAAATCCCACTGTCTACAGCTACACAAATCCCACTGTCTACAGCTACACAAATCCCACTGTCTACAGCTACACAGATCCCACTGTCTACAGCTACACAAATCCCACTGTCTACAGCTACACAAATCCCACTGTCTACAGCTACACAAATCCCACTGTCTACAGCTACACAGATCCCACTGTCTACAGCTACACAAATCCCACTGTCTACAGCTACACAAATCCCACTGTCTACAGCTACACAGATCCCACTGTCTACAGCTACACAAATACCACTGTCTACAGCTACACAAATCTACAGCTACACAAATCCCACTGTCTACAGCTACACAAATCTTACTGTCTACAGCTACACAAATCCCACTGTCTACAGCTACACAAATCCCACTGTCTACAGCTACACAAATCTACAGCTACACAGATCCCACTGTCTACAGCTACACGAATCCCACTGTCTACAGCTACACAAATCCTACTGTCTACAGCTACACAAATCCCACTGTCTACAGCTACACACATCCGACTGTCTACAGCTACACAAATCCCACTGTCTACAGCTACACAAATCCCACTGTCTACAGCTACACAAATCCCACTGTCTACAGCTACACAAATCTACAGCTACACAAATCCCACTGTCTACAGCTACACAAATCCCACTGTCTACAGCTACACAAATCCCACTGTCTACAGCTACACAAATCTACAGCTACACAAATCCCACTGTCTACAACTACACAGATCCCACTGTCTACAGCTACACAAATCCCACTGTCTACAGCTACACAAATCCTACTGTCTACAGCTACACCAATCCTACTGTCTACAGCTACACAAATCCCACTGTCTACAGCTACACAAATCCCACTGTCTACAGCTACACAAATCCCACTGTCTACAGCTACACAGATCCCACTGTCTACAGCTACACAAATCCCACTGTCTACAGCTACACAGATCCCACTGTCTACAGCTACACAGATCCCACTGTCTACAGCTACACAAATACCACTGTCTACAGCTACACAAATCTACAGCTACACAAATCCCACTGTCTACAGCTACACAAATCTTACTGTCTACAGCTACACAAATCCCACTGTCTACAGCTACACAAATCCCACTGTCTACAGCTACACAAATCTACAGCTACACAGATCCCACTGTCTACAGCTACACAAATCCCACTGTCTACAGCTACACAAATCTACAGCTACACAAATCCCACTGTCTACAACTACACAGATCCCACTGTCTACAGCTACACAAATCCCACTGTCTACAGCTACACAAATCCTACTGTCTACAGCTACACCAATCCTACTGTCTACAGCTACACAAATCCCACTGTCTACAGCTACACAAATCCCACTGTCTACAGCTACACAAATCCCACTGTCTACAGCTACACAGATCCCACTGTCTACAGC